TCAATTTTCTTTTTAAAGCAGAATTTCACACTGCTTTGATCAATTAAGCTCTGAATGGTATAGGACTGCAATGCTGAGCAGTTCATGAGCAGTTTGGATGATTTACATCCAAACAACGTCTAACTTTGGGGAAAGGCCGGATTTTTTAGATCACTGAAAAGACATTGAAAACTGGGTTTGCTATTATTGGACTAATGTGGGATAAAATCATACTAACCAAAACACAGCCAAATTTTCAACAAGGATTTTTGGACTAAAGACTATGACAGACCGACCAGATTTAGCCAAAAAAAAAAACAAAAAAAAACACCTAAATGACGTCTGGTGTTTGGTTGTCAGTGATCCAAGAAGCAGAACAAAAGTGCCTGAAAAACTGAGATGAAGGTGAAATATTTAATTTAAAATTTTCTAACCAGCATGTTTCAACCTTTTATTGGTTTTAAATTTTAAATTTAAAAGTGTTTACTTTTAATAAGGAGATGATAATTTTTTTGTTTTGCAGTTTCATGATTTCCTTGTTTTTGCTTTAGTCATTTTGTTTTTTACTTATATCTGTTTACTTATAGAGACGAGATAACAGGAATCGAAACATGGCTAAGCCCTCAGATTGTGTGCTGTAGATTAGTTGTTCTGTATAATTGTGGCTGATTAAATACTTTAAACTGAGGATTTGATTTCCCAGGCCAGTAACAGGATGTCAGTATCACAGTTTGTCCAGTTTAGGTCTCTGGTTTTACTCTTAATTGGCACAGCCTAATAGGTACAATCGAGAACAGAACATACATAAATAATGGTAGGAAATACTGAGAAGACAGGAAGCACATAGCTGCATGAAGATGGAGAAGTTGACAGGAAAACAATAAGGGAGGAGGAGAGTGCAAAGAGAGGGAGAAACGGATGAGTGATAAGAGGGGGAAAAAGAGCAATAAAGTATGAAGGGAGTATGAAGGAAAGGATAAAGGGAGGACATGCTGGCAATGAGAATTATGAAAGAAGAAATAAAGAGAACTGTTTTTTTGATGAAGATGTGAAAGGAAGTTCAAACAGGTTTCAGGTTTAAGAAGGAACTGATGAAGGGAACTCAGCTGGAGTTAAGAGACATTAAGAGACAGAAAGGGAGAGGGAAGAAATGAAAGGCATAGATACAAAGGATGGAAGATAAGAGAGCAAGGTTAGGATGGAGGGAACAGGCGGAAGAAAAGACTCAAATAATAGCAAAATATGGAAAACTGGAGGGAAATGGTCGCCTAGACGAATAAAAGATGGTGTC